CATCCAGACAAAAGTTTACAGGCGCCACAAACTTTTCGGTGGCTCTGCCACTCCGGTTTCCCCCTTTACTCGCTCAGTTGTCATGGCAATTTTGAAAGGAGATATTCAATTTGGCTGGCTCCTCGTCTCCACATAATACTTGGTAAGCAGTTTGAAGTTTTAGGGCCACTTTAAATGGCCACAAATTGATGCCGGAATGCCGATGCTGCAACTAATTTGATTAAATTAACTGAAGCACTCGGTTCACTGCATGAAAATGATCAACTCATTAACAAATTTAGCTTGGACTCTAAATGGGAAAATGTGTTTTAGCCCATTAACCGGTACAAAGTTTTGATTTATCACTGCCCTGGCTGGCACAATTGAATTTGGCATTATTATTCTTGGCGAATGCCAACGGAAGGATATTTTAAGAGAAACAAGGGACTTAAGTCACGCCGGACTAAGCCTCTCAGTTGGTAAAAATTCAAGCAATATGGCCAAAAGCTCATCAAGCGCATCAGTGGGTCTTAGCCTGGCCCAAATCTGACAGCATCTTAGCCGGAACGAGGAGCAGAAAAGCCGGAACAGGAGCTGTGGCTGTGGCTGCCACCAAATCCATTTTGGCAGCCGGGTAGCAAGAGGTTTGCTGAATGCAAGGTAGTGAAATTTACAATTTAAAATGCATGCATAATGAATGTTGTTTGCTGCCAAAAGACTTTCAGCCGGGGATTTCGGGGGGTATGGAACACGGCCATGACCTCATCGCTCGCCTTCAAGCCAACCCGAAACATCCCCCCCCCCCCCCTCACTGCCATTGGTGTTGCCCCTCAGCGTTTGCTACCCCTTGGCCATGAAACAAGCAAAGCGAACAAAAAAACACAAATAACAACAACTCAACTCGGTCGACTCGACTTCAAATGCAGCTGGAAAAGTCCTTAATCTGTGCGAATTTTAGTAGAGCACAGTGAAATTGGTAGATGCCATGGGAAAACAGAAAAAAAAAACATGTTGCAATTAAATATTTAGACATTCTAATATTACCAAATGTCCTCGATTTAATTTTACTAACTTATTTGTTGAAGTTAATTGTGTGAATTACTCTTAAACATTAAAAATGTATAGACGCTAAGTGATAAAAATACGTCACTTATTATTTCTTGATTGCAAAGCAATATTTTTTGAGGAAAAAATTGTAATCAATCTGATATGATGATTAGTGACGTTGTCTTCATGTAAAATATCCCTAGATAATAGTATTTTAATGTTTTCAAAAGTAATATTAGTTTCTATTTTTTGTTATGCTTGCTATTTATGTATATATTTCTTTCTGTGTACGGAAACAGAAGAGCGGGGAGTGGAGAGGGGATAGAAGCTAGATGTGACCATGACTGGCAGCTGGATAGATGCTTCCTTTGGCTTCGCCTTTGTTTTTTGGCTTATTTTGCATTAGAAAAGCACCAACATCCCGGGGAGGTTGTGTTCCACCAACTGCACCTCCTGGTTGTGTGGTTGTGTGTATGCACATATTTGCTCGACTTTGTTTGCCAACACACGCATACGAAACCAGAAGGAGCACAACTACTGTTAAAAAAATTTGTGCATAATTTTGCTAGACGAAAATATGCTTTGGTCCTTGAAAAGGCAGAAAGCAGGGAAATCGATGACAGGACACATGCCACAGGACCCACTCCCGCTGGGATCCCTCTTTACACTTGCTTTGTTTGCGGATTAAGCTACTGGGATGTTGTTGCTGTTGTTGTCGTCGTCCTGATGCCACATCCAGTATTCCCCACTCTCATCTGCATCCGCAATGGAGCTTCAAATGTTGCCGTCTCTAATTTAATTAGGCGCGTGCCGCAACTGGAAGCTGTTTGCAATCAGGCGTCGCATACAATCGCCTTTGGATCTACACACACCCAAGTTGACACCACATACACCCTACCCCCCCTTCCCCCTTCCAACAGAATTCATATATTTACATGTGCGCGATATTTTCATTACGTGCTCTGCACCTTGGCAACCGCCGGCATTACTTTTTTCTTCTCTTCGCCACGTAATTCTGGAGGTCGCGATTTTCTTTAATTGTTGCACACACGTGACCACGATTTATGTGTAATGGAAAATTCTGGGTACTCGTACGGATTCTCGTATATTTTATTCTTCACCTAAGTACTTTTATTTCCGAGGGACTTTTAACTTTTTCTTATGAAAATATATTACAATTGACATTACATTTTAATTACCCTTAAATTACAATTGCGTACACCAGAGTTTCTGTTTGTAATTTCGAATCCTTTGATTCTTACTGGGTTTTAAACAAGTAACACGTTTGCTATAAAAACATCGATTAATTCAAACCTGAAACTGTTACCTCGAGCTGGATTGATCAAGTCTTGCTTTTCATTATTTTAGTGTGCCATTAAAAGTTGCAACTCAAACTCAAGTTGGCTTGGTGCTCAACTTTTTCCGATTTAAACTTTTTTAGATTTTATAGGGGACGGGTGATATGGCTTCAATC